ATTAAAATGGAATTCGATATGACCAACTATTGGAACAATAGCTAAGAAATATAAATATACCCAAACAAACCAGAGAAAAGCTTTAATCCCAGCATTTTTAGTAAGCCGTTAAAAGACAAATGAGTTATAAAATTGACAGTAAATGTTTTTTAATTCAACCTTTTGAGTGCAATTATTTTAAGTGTAGTTTTCTTTTAAAGGAATTTTGTATTTTCAGTTCAATAGATAATATGCTGCACTACTGATATAATACCTCAGACATGCTCTAGATTGCAATAACAATAATATCATTGTCCACAAGTTTAGGAGATGAAACCAGATCTTTTTTTTAATTTATGAGACAACATATGGATTTTATTATTATCACATGTATTTTTTCTAAAAGAAAGGATGCTATTTGATCATAATTCCTTAATGCTTTTCCAACTGTGTACTTGACTCAAGTACAGCTTCATGTAAAGTTACGTTTTTGTTGTGTGTATTGCAGAAACACCCCTGGACTGTGAGGTTTCTCAATGGTCTTCCTGGGGACTCTGCAGGGGTGTTTGCAGAGAAACAGGGACCAAGATCAGAACTCGTTTTGTGCTTCTTCAGCCTGCCAATAATGGAACACCTTGTCCAAATCTGGATGAAGAAACGCCATGTGAACCAGAAAACTGTGTCTGAAATAAAGAAAAGATAATAACTTAGATAATTTAAAAGTAGGATAAGTTTAAATCTAAACTACATGTCACTCAGTGTTCTTTAGAATTTGGATATGCTGCACTATTTTGATGAAAAGGTGTATAAGAGTGGTTTTGAAAGTTGCTATTTAATGTCAAGATTTTAGGGGGTTAAATTTCTAAGGTTTAGTATGTCAATAGTACTCGATCACTTACAGACCAAAAACCCCCAAATAAATCCTTCCTACAATACACTGTAAGTTCTTCGAGTACCCTCTAGTGGCAGAAAAGAAGACATTTGGAAACGTACTTCACATGAATAAAAATCAATCACAACATCTAAACTAATAGCCTTCTTAAATGCTGTAATTTGATTATCTACAGATATTTATACCTAGAAATTAATTTTTTCATCTAAATTATGTTTTTATAATTTATTGGCATTTTTCTTGTCTTTCTAAATATGCTTAACATGCATTTCTTCAGAAACTACTTACCTAAGTCAGAGTGACCAGATGTTTGCAGCGTGGTTAAGACAATAGTGGAAGTGAGTAAACTTGTCTTGAGACTTACGAATATATGAAAATGTCTTTTTCTTTTTTTTTTATCAAAAGTGAGAAGAATAACTGCCATGAGGACACTCAGCCAACAAAATTACTAGAAAGATATAGAAGTGTGGATACTACTAGAAAACTTTTGAACTGAATTAAATGTGTTAGCTGAGATTCAAAAACTGATTGTTGGTGTGTGTCACTCATAAGACAACTATCTCAAAATAAATGCTGTTGACTATAACGTAAATTATATCATTACCTTTATATATGCAGTAAATATTGTCCACATTTCTTTAAATGTGTTGCTGCTATTTGTTATTTGCTCTTTTTCCACTTTTTACCGAGAAAATTTAGAATTTTTTAATAGTATCTAAAATTCAGGTATAGACAATGATAACAAAACACAACATGCCAGAAAGTGTTCCTGACTGCAAGCTTTAATGCTCGAATAACTGTTATAAAATGAATGTAACATATGGCTTATGAAGAGTTGTGGCTACCAACCAGGAAAAGGATTTTGGAATAATACTTACTCAACAAAATAAGTTTGCAGTCAGCTCACAAAACTTTTACAGCACACTGCAGTTTTACAAATATACAGCGCAGATATTGAACAGGAGAGTTGATTTGAGAAGGTTCTTTTAGGAATATGCCAAATACAAGAAAATTTCTCACGTCCTTAAGGGAGCACACTGCATTCTCCACAGGGCTGAAACATTCAAAAGGTTCTCTGTATTTCTTTCCAGGAGATAAATCTTGCAAAGACCCAAATAAATTTGAAAGTTTATGACACTAGAATTAGTTGCTCCTCCAAATGATGTTAAACACAGTTTTCAGAGCTCAGTGTAGGAATCTCTACATCTCTCATTCTTCAGACTCCCACTGTTGCCCATTGTTCAAAATTGTTTCACTTACTCTTTTTATCATATCTGGTTGGTTTTTTTCCAGGTTCCCCTGTTTCCACTCTATAATGGGAATAGTGTAACTACATTATTTTGTGTTTAGTTAACTACCAATATTTTTCTTTCTTCTTTTTATATTAATGTTAATCATTCTGTGTTTTCTGTCACACTATATTTTTACATTTTTACTACTATATTTTTACAGATTTACCATCGTCTCAGAAAACCTATGCGTACATCGAAGTATATATTTAAATACTCTCTGAGGACAGGAACTAATTTCAAATTTATTGATTGTTGAGTGACAAATTAGGCTCAATAAAGGCTTTGGGCAGATCTCAGATTCAAGTCTAAATCCTAAATGCCTTAGGAAAAACAAACCCACAAACCACAGGTATCCTTGGAGGTAAATTCCTGGAAGTTCTCTTAACATTAGAGTTTTGCTTCTTCACGTGCCCAGAGCAAATAGAGGGTCAGGTCCAGTAAAAGAATATCTGCCTTTGCAATTGTATACATGACCTGAATCTGGGATTTCAGTCCTACAAGAAAAGAACTGAGAGTGGAGAAGTCCCAGTGTTTACTCGAACTCCTGGAGACAAAAGTTTCCCAAAGGACACTGAAGGAGAAAGGATGAGAGGGAGTGGTGGAGTAGAAAGGGAAGTGAATATATAACAAGCCAACACACTTCAGGAAACTCCAGTCAGTGATATATAACTTTGCTACTTTAGAGTGTTTATGTACACGAATATTCACTGCAGCTTCCTTTAAAAGCAGAAGTTTTCTATCCAGCCAGTTACCTGGATATGGGATTTTTTGTAAGCTGTGACTTCAGGAGACCTTGGTACATATGACATTCTTTAAGGATGCCCTTGTAGTTATGTAATGTTTGCCCATAGATCATTCCAGGTATTGCCTTTGCAAATCCCAGGCATGGAGTCATTACTTGGCAAGACTATGGATACAGTGAGTGAAGCACATTCTAATGATGGAGCATATTTCTTATAATATATCTTTATTAAACTGATTAGTGAGGTACATTATCCCTGTGTGGATACTGTTAGGACCTTGTAGCTTTTACTTTCTGCAGTCTTGGAATTCTCTTAAAAATCTGGGGACCAGGAAGAGGCATAGAGAAGCTCTTCCTTTCTTTTCCTTTACAACTAGTGTTACAGATGGCTGGCAGCCAAGATGCTGTGGTCCTAAAAACATGAGATTTAGGGAAGGAAATGGGCAAATTAATTCCTGAGTTAAGCTAATCTCAGAAAGCACTTTGGGAGGAAGCTTGAAATGGATTTGTAAAGACAATTCTTTTCAAGAATGTTTTATAGGAAAGATCAGCTTTGATGCCTTGGCAGATATTATTGCAGAATGGAAAACATGGTTAAAGGTAAGTGTAGTAGTCAAAAAGTCACCACAGAATTAAACTGTGGTCCTACAGAAATAATCAACACCAAATTAAATTCCTATAATGGAATAAGGTACCTCATTACTGAGAACAAAAAAGATGGAAAAGGACTCTTTACAAGGATTTGTAGTGATAGAAAAAGGGAGAATGGGCTCAAACAGAAAGAAAGCAGGTTTAGGTTACATATTTGGAAAAAAATTCTTTACTGTGAGCATGGTGTGACACTTGAACAAGTTTCCCAGAGAAGTTGTGGATGCCCCATGCCTCGAAGTGTTCAAAGCCTGGCTGGATGGGGCTCTGAACAACCTGGTCTACACAAAAATAAAACATAAAATAAAATCCAAATTCCACCTTTTCAAGCAAAATAAATGTTGGTAAAATTCCATCAAGGAATGTTTTCTATTCTGTGGCACTGTGTCCTACATATATGACCCGTATATGTGCAGCTGAGGTAACGTCATCCCATACCCTGAAGTCAAGATGACAGAAATCAGAAGTCAAGCGAGAGGTTCATCAAAGACACTTCAAGGGCATCACTGAACCATTGCCCTGCAAATGCCAGGTGCTGCTGAGGACAACGGTAGGGTTGGGCAGACTGTGATCAAACTACAGACCCTTCCAACAGGAGCTTCTGAAACAAAATTGAGCTCCCTACTGGAAATGATCCCACAGGTGGGTCCTCCCCGCTGGAAAACGACCACATATCCTCTGACATTGAAGCCAACCTTTCAGACAAAGAGATCTCAGTTTATAAGACAAAGAACATTTGAGTGATAGATGAGTTTGTCATCAGGCAAACGCATTGGTCTATATTAGCACCAAGGATAAAAATAAAAACCTCAATCTTTGTTCAAGTTACTCTATAGCTTTCTCTAGAGAATTTATTAGGCAGTGACTAAGAAATAGACATTCTTATATAAAAAAATCTTATCCTGAAAGTGTTAATGTTATTTTTTCCCCGAAGTATCATATTGAATAATGTTTCAGATTCTTTTACTGTTCAAGTTCTTTTGACTTCTTTAAATTTCTTTCAGACCTTTCATGTAGTCCCTGTGGTTTTATGCAGGCGCATATATTTGTCCAGTGATTTAGGATGGAAATTACAAGATTTCTTAATAAAAGAGGAGTGAAGCTCTGGAATAATAGCCCAGAATAAATAGGAAATACAACTTAATAACTTCATTTAAGTTGAAAATTGAGCAGTTTTTGGAAAGAGATAGCCAGTGTGGTTACTTACAGTAATCTAGTGAACTGATCTCAAGTACCTGAGAGGCCCTTTCAGTTTCATGCTCTTGTAAGTGCATAAAATAAAATTTTAGTCTAGATGCTGGGAAAGAAAAAAGATTTTACAAGGTGTCTTTTTCATGTTATCTCATTCTCCAGAACATATTGCAGTTATTTATAAACGTGTAACCACCAGCTGCCTTTTCTCACAGTTTTTTTCTCTCTCAAAAATACACTGATAAGAAGCAAACAAGGAACAACCACAGGACTACAGGCATTTGTATGTAACTATTTCTCTTCAATAGCAGTACAGTAGGGATATATTAAAAAAAACATGAAAAGCCAATTGATAGGATTATTTATGAACTTCTGGATTTCTTTTTCACTTGCTTTGTATTTTCACATTGGAGAAAGAGAAGAGAAATGTATAATTGAAGATCTTCCCAGCGACACGTTGGTATTTGGTAGGTACCTGTCAGTGCTCTATGATTATCTAACCTATGCAATAATAAAGATAACTTTTAATGTAACAGGAAATTCTGTTACTGATGAATATACTAAAACATTAGTGCTAAGGAAAGGGCACACTGAAAATTACTCCCCACAGCAGGGAGTAGGAATAAAGTCCTCACGCATTGTGTGTGTCCATCACTCAAAAAAAAAATGCAGGTTTTCAGAGTGCTCTACTGACTAAACAGTCTTTTAATTCTACATCTGCGGAACTGCTGCTTCCATGTGTGTTTCTATACATTCTGACTGATGTACTCATTGACAACAGAATTTCCGTAACATGGTTTTCCCCATATGAATGAGAGAGTTACTTTTTTGATTAATGCCAGTCTGGAAAGAAACAATTCAAGATGTACTAAAGTTCCATTTCACCTGGGATACCACAGGCACATTAAATTAATCTACAAGACTGTACATGCAAGATTTCAAGGGGATAGCAAAAAATAATACAGAATAATCTTTTTCTTTAATAAATAATGTGATAAATATGAAAAACAATCCAAAAAATGTAATTTCAGTACAGCACATTATGCTTTTGGGGGTCTCAGCATGCCTTCTGGAGGTTAATCTTGCCAGAGTTTTAGGAGTAATCAGAAAGTACTTCTTGTTAATTAACCATTATTTGTAGTACTCTAGAACATTTTCTGGTGTAGTAAAAATTTATTGCATTTCACAGTATTGTAAAGTGCCCCTGAGCACTTTTAATCATAAACACATGAAATACATATATTGTTTTAATGTTAATCATTTATCTTTATATTTTTCCTGAAAAAGCAATGAAGATGTTTAATGTTAAGCTATGTTTTATTTAATGGATTTATCCATGTTCTTATTCAGGGAATTACAAAGTACAACGCTGGGATATACATAAACACGACTTTCTTGAATCTGCTCCTGGTTTGGGAATGTATGTGACTGTCTCAACTCCTTCTGGTGAGGTAAATATGCTCTATGAATGTTTCTGTAGGATTTATATGTTGACTTCTGGCACTGGCAGGCAGCACTATCTAAAAAGAAAAGACACTTCTGGAGAAAAAGTAAATCTACAGTTTACCAGCTAGTTTGGTATTTTGATGCTGAAAGGTTTAAGAACCTCGTGACTTCTATCAAAGTAAATAGAAATTACGATATTTGATAATTATGTGCATGGTCAATTTTTGCATTACCATCAGATTTCGGAAAGTGTGTTATTAAGAACAGTCAGTGACAACTGAGAAAACAAGTTAAAGAAAAAAAAAGAAAATTCACTAATGAAGTAAAACGGTACAGAATGTACTTGAGCAGCAGAAAGGAAAGCTGATGATAAACAAAACTGTGAAAGTTGAGATCTTCCCTAGGCTGGGTGTGGCCCTCATGTAGAGCAGCTGCCTGTGTTGCCATGAAGTCCTGAGCCTTTCCAGCAATGGACAATATATTTCTGTGCCTAGATGAGGTTTTAGTTTTCAAACTTTGCATGCTTTAGAGAGCAATGGCTTTGTACACTGCAGAATTCTATAACATTTCAGTGTTCACTGTGAACTAAAATAGTTTAATTTTCTCTAAATCTACCCTGAAATTCAGATAAATTTAATGATGTCAGGAGGCTAATTGATTCCTTTTTGATCCAATTCACAGTACTGTCTTGATAGTTTTATTGGTATTTACAATTTACAAACCCAACATATATAAAATTTAAATTGCAGGTACTATTATCAAAACTGTATGGGCCACAAGGAACATTTTCTTTTACATCCCATCTCTCTGGGGAGCACATTATCTGTTTCCAGTCAAACTCCACAAGACTTCTGGCAATTGCAGGAAGTAAACTGGTAGGTATATTTCTTAAATATTCTTTGTTGTAACCATAAATTGTTTACAAACCACAGAGATTACAAACTAGCTTAGAAGTTGGACTAACTTCTAGCAGATAATTTGACATTTCCTAGTGATTAAAGAAGACAAAACCAGAATTTTGTAGATCAAGAGATAAAAAGACTCTGTTCTCTTCTATTTAAGAAGTCGGCTTTCAAGAGGCAAGACTAATAATGATAGAGAGACTTAATGTTTTTAAAGTGCTTTGAATGTGATTCTGATCAATAAGAATGACTAATTTGGTTCAAAAAGACCGATATGAAACACTTCTAAGACTAACACAAACATTTGTCATAAAGGTGTTCCATGTCTTCACTAACTTAGATTGAATTCCTAATGAAAACTTAACATTTCAATTTTTGAGAGATATTCAAAGAAAAATATATTAGCATTCTTGTTATTGTGTACTACCAGCAAAGCTGGTCTTAACGCAGATTTTGAGAAGAAAAGAAAAAACCCATCAGAGGTGGTATCATGGCTCTAATCTATCCCAGAAAAAAAAAAATATAAATTCTGTTTTGAAAATATATGCCTTAGCCCAAAAGATAGTTGAACAGGTGAGAATTACTCTCTAGAGTGTTTGTTTGTTTGTTTGTTAATTAAGTTGACTGCAAAAGAGTTAGATAACCAGCTAAATATAAACATCTTTTAAATGTGTTGAGGTAGGTCAAATTTCATACAAGCTGTGTACTTTGGGAACATGTAGATGACACAGAAATGAGAAGAACAGTACAGAAGTGGGATTCTTATACTGGAATAACTAGGTGTTCTTACAGACTGATTGATAGAAATGAATGGAAATTTAAGCATACACATTGCAAAAGCACTCAGGTTCTAATAAGAAAAAAAATTGGTGGAGTTTATCAACTAGAGAGGGTAAGGGTGATAAAGCTTTGGTTGATCATAGTTAACTACACACCATGAATGTGATTCTGAGGATATGCAGGTGATTTTTATCTGGTATAAATGGAGCTGTATTAACATGATTTTACATGATACATGCACCATGTAGAGTTCTGGTCATCCTATTTAAAAGAAGTGAACAGATGTGGGGAAGGAGAACGTTAATATCACAAATATTAAATGAGGTGGTTTGTTTAGCTTGAGAACACAGAAATTAAAAAGGAAAATACTGCTCTTATAATTATACTTGCAAGAACAAAGGTCACACAAGAAAAACATTATTTAACTAAGTTAAATTTTTCAGTGGTCTTCTGTAAGAACCATATGGTTATCTGAACTCCTTCAAACCAAAATAATTAATAAATTAATGGATGATAAGGTTGTGAGACGGATTTCTAGCTATACAGTTAGCTAACTCCAAGACAGCTGAAAGATCTGCTCTTCATTTGTGGGTGATGTCTGGCAGATTATTTGCTTGGCTAAAACCTTTTTATTTTCTCTTAGGCACAAATTGGCTTCTAGAAGAAATTCCTCCTATTAATTTTAGCAAAATTTTTCATTCATGACAAAATAAGTTGCATACTATTGCAAGTTCTGTTCTTCACTCTTCTTTCTATGGTTCTATTGCTTGACTGGGTTCAGGCATTTTTGCCATAGATCATACAACAGCTTACAGGATATTGGGAGATACTTCATTCTGGATAAATAGTGTGGAGAAAGAAAAAGATACCCTATGGATACCCATGTTAAACTGCAAATAGTGATACAGCTCATCTCCTTCCAGTCTTACAGTCCCAACAGTTACATGAGGAAACCCAGAAGGGCATCTACAAAAAATTTCCTGCATTGAAGAATGTAATTCCTGCAATATTAGAATGGAATGTGAAATATAATAAGCATCCCTTATGGTCTTTATTTTTTTAACTATTTTGGACAAAGAAAACATTTTCATGGTGGTTGAATCAATACTATCATAAAATAACGCCCTAACATTAGTGAAGTTTGTAAATTTGTATAACTAGTTTAAAAATAAAATTAAGAAGCACTTTAAATTTACCACCTGATTCTAATTTTAGGAAGGATTTTTATAAGAAATTAAAACTATTTTCCTGTAATGAACCTTAAGGGAAATTATCCATTGGTTCATTTTTAATTTGAATTTAGGAATTTTGAAAAAGCAGATGACACAGAAATGAGCATATATTTTCTGTTTTCAGCGTATACATTTGGACATTAGAGTTGGAGAGCATTTTTTGGATGAATCTGCTGTTCAAGCCAAAGAAAAAGTGGATGAAGTTAATATCAGACTAGAACATCTAATTGAGCAAATGCACCATGTATCCAAAGAACAAGACTATGAAAGAGTATGTATGTTCCCTAATGGAAACATTAAAAAATATTGTACATAGGCTTATTGATTTATTAAGTATTATGAGGTTTATTATTCAATTGCAGTGTTATTTTTAACTAACACATAAAAATCTATTGGTATTTAACCAAAATTGTCTCTATTACCTTGCAAAATATTTTTAAGCAGTAACCTAAAAACTAATTAATGACTGAGAACTCACGCTTATAGCAACAGGTGTTATTTTATAGCAGCAGGTGTTATTTTAAAGCAGAGTTTTCCAAATAAGAGTGTTCTTGGCCAGTCAGCCCCAGCAGCTGAGCAGGTGGCAGGTACCGCTGTGGGTGATGTCTCCAGCTGTTGTTTCCATGCAGGTCTATGTGCACAAACTTTATTGGAGTGGGGAAGGAAATGACTGAGTGTATATTTATAAATCTCCATGCAGTTAGAAATAAAGCCCTCCTTCAAACAAGTGTACACCCGTTCTCTTCACTTTTCCATTCGTACGCAGGCAGTCAGACTGTGTTTGAAATATATCGACTAGTTACCTAAAAATAGAAATTTGGCTGCAAAAGGGTTCTTGACAGCAATATGTGACTGTAAACCTAAGAAGGTTAAAGCCTGTACTAATGGGACATATTTAGCACAATATATTTTCTGTGAATAAGGGAAGTTCTGTTTGCCTTTCTGCTTGAGGATACAGTGTGTCTGCTTCTCAGTTTTGATTTGTAAAGATACCCACCATATGGATAAATAGAAACTTCCGTTTTTATCAACATGAAGTGTTTGTTCACCACTATGCAGAAGAGGGATGTTTGTCTAGTTACCTGGATAGCAGCATGAAACATGTAGATGCTAAAAGGTAATAACTATGCTTTTCCTTTATTCTTCAGGAACGTGAAGAAAAATTTCGGAAGACAAGTGAAGAAACCAACAGCAATATTTTGTGGTGGGCTATAGTACAAACACTGATCCTCATCTCTGTTGGAATCTGGCAAATCAAATCTCTCAGAGATTTCTTTATAGCTAAGAAACTTGTTTAAATTCTATAAAGTAAATGCACAGATTCAGAAATTGCACATCATGTAACACTGAACATCATAAGAAACCCTGTAACTAAAAGAAAATTGGTTGCATAGAACTCTCAAGTTTCTCTCATCTTCTACTCTGATTCTAACTCTGGTTTCTCCATCTATGTCACAACCTCTTATACCCCACTACATTTTATTCCTTTAATCCAATTTTTTATAAGCTTTTTTTCCCCCTATACAGATGTAAAGCTAAATCTAGAAGAAAGATTCAGTGACTAAGGCAGCATTTCGTTCAACTCAGGATTGTTACATCTAAAATAGAAATCTAAAAAAAAAAGTTTCCTAGGATTTAAAATTTCTATACTTGCTTACTAATGTTACTTGGTACTACCACAAAGAGTTCAGCACTTCAGACTGACCACAATTCAGACAGGAGGCAGAGAAATAACCCATATCCCCTGTGGTGCTTAATTTGGTGAGAGTGTCTTGAACTCAATCTATATATGGGTAACACCTAAATGTAATTGTGACTGCTTTCTTTCAAAATATTCAACTGATCAGTGGCGGCAGCAATTATCATGGAAGAGAGAGACCCAGACAAGCAATTTGGAGTTGTACTTACTTTTCACTTCCAGATTAGGCTATGGAATTGTGATCAGACATCTCCCACAGTTGCTCATTTAAATTATATTCTTTATGAAGTATGCCAAAATAAACCAAATTACAGGGTTTTTTTGTAAACAATGCCTACACATTTTGTTTTAATTCATTCCTGCAGAAAATTCTTCAGTCTCTTTCTGTGTTGAGAATTTTTACTACTTTAATTATTTAGCAACTGTAATATGACAGCCTAAAGAACTTACCAGTTTTTGACTTATTTTTCCATTTCACTTATTGCAGCTTGGTTACATACATCTTTATGCCTTAATTTAACTAGCAGTGTAACTACAGTATCATACAATGAGAAGTCAAAAGCTCTGGTTAAAAATCCAGATAATTAGCTTGACAAAGCAGCAGTAGTGTAAGGAGGAGTTGGAGGTGGTTACATATAAAAACATGAAACTTGAAGAAGTTTCTAGAGCACTGTGATAGCAAAGTATTATGGTTTGGTTTCCTACTTCTCTTTCCAGACCCTTTGCTTATCTAAAAGGTAGTGAAAGCTGGAATATCTGTAAACAATTACTGTTTTAAAGGCACTGCTTTCTTTCTTTCTTCTATTTTCTCACTTGTGGTTTTCATCAGCAAGGAAATGACACTGCCCTATGAGTTCACTTACATTTCCAGTACAGTAATGAAAATACAGCTGTGAGAATCCATAAAATTGATACAAAGTAGAGACAAATCAATCAAAATAAAATCTTATAAAGCTACTCACTGAGGTGTGTCCTACATTAAAAATTCTGAGACTTTAAAGTTGTCACTCGGAATAACCAGTAAATAAGTTTTATTAACTTTACTTTCATAGATCAGTCATTCACAACCTGTCTTTCAAAAGTATCTTTGGTGGTGGGAAAGAAGGAAATATGTGTTACAACCATATGGTATATGAAGTCCAAGAAAAAAGTTTAATAGTGTTGCTACAAGCTTGTGTTTCAGACTTTAGCTGATATTTAGTGTAAGGCTTCTAACCACATCCCAATGCCAAACTTAACTTATCTCACAATACACTTAGGCTTTTAAACCAGGACAGCCACTACATCAGAATTTATAAAGGGGCTGATTGTATTTCTCTCTATTAATTAGGTCTATGCTCAAACTAGCACTGAGACTCAGAGCCTTGGATACAGCTTGAGAGTGCTTCATTCTTTATCTAGAATAATAACAATAGTAATAGTGATTAAACATCTTTGCTTTGATGAAATGTTTTCAGTCTCCTTCAAGATTTTTAATTAACTCTGTAAAGCAGAAGCTGAATTGCAACTCTTTTGGGACGCACTTTGGGGGCAGTAGGCTTCGTGAAGTTAAAAGACAGAGGTTCCTCCTCTGCAGTTTGTGGCTCTGACATACCCAGAGCTACAGCCTGCACTGCACCTAGATCTGTAAGGGAATTTTTTCCTAAAAATTTCATCAAGGGAAACTAGCAAAATATGGGTTTGTTTTTTTTTTTTGGTCTAAGAAATGAAAATCAAAACTCCTTGTTTTGCTCTTTTTCCTCATTGAAAGATGCCATAGCAAAGCTGTGACAGCAAATTAACAACCTTCCTGGATTCCTACATTTAAGGGAGTGGAATTCACAACCTTTTTCCACACACCTGCTGGCCAGGAGGAATGAGGAGGATGGGGCTCCTGCTGCAGCCCCTGCCTGGAGCACTGAGATCCCAGGTCACTTCCCCACATTTGAGAAAGGGAGGGGGAATCTCTCAGAGGACCCTCTGCGTGGGCACTGCTCCGCTTTGGTAGTGAGAGGTGAGAAAAACAACTTCTTTTAAGGCTGTGAGGGTCAAGCTCAGATTCAAAAACTGCGCATCACATAACATTGAAGAGCCGAAGAAACCCCGCACCTGTGAGAAAATTGTTTGTATATAACTCTCAAGCTTCTCTCATCTTCTACTCGGATTCTAACTCCGGTTTCTCTATGTCACAACCTGTGTCTTCCCCTTACATTTTTACCCCTTGAATCTCATCTTTTATCAGTTCTCCCCCCCCTCTACAGATGTAAAGCTAAATCTAGAAGGAGGACTCGGTGACTGAGGCAGCACTTAAATTGAAGTCAGGATTGGGATGAGTCAGGATTGAGTACCCATAGGGGGTTGAGAGCAAGGGAACATGAGATGCAAAAAGAATTACTAGGAGGAAAGCAGGAGCTGGGCAGTGGGGAAGGAAGGAAGATAAAAGATGGAAAGGCTAATGGGGAGAAGAGAATTTATAATATGTCATAAAACTAATCTGGAGTCCTTGGTTTTCTGTATTTATGGTTTTTTGGTTTTTTTTTTTGTTTTTTTTTGGTTTTTTTTTTTTTTTTTTTTTTTTTTTTTTTTTTTTTTTTTTTTTTGGTTTTTTTGTTTTTTTTTTTTTGTTCCCAGGCTCATGTCTATAAGGGAACTTTTTAGATTTGCCTTGAGCATCTAGGCTGAGAGATTGGAGATGGAGGGACTGATTTGTGAGAAGTGTTCACCTGCTGCCAGCTGGGTCATTCCTGTGAGTTCATGCTGGCAGTAGTAACTGCTCTGTTTTTCCTAGTTAGGTCCCACTTAGGGACCTGAATCTAAAAAAAATAAAAATAGGAGTTTCCCAAGATTTTAAATTTCTCTGTATTAAAAATTCTGAGACTTTAGAGTAAGATTACTGCTTAGTGACCTTTGGGAAAAGGAGGGGGAATCTCGCAGAGGATATTCTGCGTGGGCACCGCTCCAGTTTGGTAGCGAGAGGCCAGAAAATACAACTTTTTTTGGGGGGGGTTGTGAGGGTCGAACTCCGCCGCCCCTCAGGCCCCGCGGCGGGTCGGGCGGTCCCCCCTCCCCCGGGGCCGCCTCAGACGGGCGGGCAATGGCGGAGCGGCGGCCGCGGGGCTCGCCCTGAGGAGGGACCGCGTCTGCCCCGGCCCCCGGCTCGCTGCCGGGCCCTCCTGCCCCTCCGGCCCATGGCCCTCCCGGTGTTCTGCAACTCCTGCTCCTGTGAGCCCCGCAAGCCCACGCCGCGGTTCTGCCTCACCAGCTGCGGCCACGTTTTCTGTGAGATTTGCCTCCAGAAAGGTAATGGCTGCTGGAGCGGGCAGTGCTGGCGTGCACACCCTCTCACCTTATCCTTCGTATTTCTGACTCGTTGTGGAAAAAAAAAGAAGGACCTGAGCATTCCTTCATGTCTGTCGAATGCTGTTGATAAACCTTTTCAATCCTTGCTATTGATTTTCTTTAAATACTGAAGGCCGCCAGTGTCCACCTCCAGGTGAGTCTGGCTTTGAGAGCAAGCCTTGGGCACGGGAAACTGGAGGCCTTGATAAAACTATTCTGGAAGCTTGTGATTCATAAGGTTGTTAAACAAACAATCAAAGGCATTCTCTTCTGGCTAATTTGGAAAAGGACTTGCTTTTTCATCCTGAGAATGGGCAATTTACACAGCGTAGGATTTGTTTAGGGCAGGCTTTGCAAGTAGTCTTAAGTTGTTTTAAAGCTCAATATTGTTCCTGGAAATTTTTCAGCAGCGTGAGGGAGGGTTGGAGGTGATATTTTGAAGCTCTTGTGTCATGTGCAATTCCAGAGTCATATTCTGTGATATTCATTATCAACCTACTCTGGCTGCAAGTTTTGTTATTAATTTCAGTCAAAGAATATGTTGTCAAGGACCTCTGGATGTCATCTTGTTCAACACCTTGCTGAAAACAAAGCTAATTTTAAAGTGAGATCAGTCTTAAATTGCAGTATTTCAACAGAACTTGATGTGCTCAGACGAAGATATGTGGAAAAGACAGAGGAGTAATGAAGTTGTTTTTCAAAAGAAAAGAGCAGCAGACAAATACCAATGTTTTTTCCTTTGAGATCATGCTAAATGTCATATTTTTTTTTAAGGGCACACAGAAGAAATGATGAATCTGTATTTCAGAATTAAAAACTTTTGACTAGCTGTGTTCACAGGGTTGCTTTTAAGGAGGAGGATCATAAAATGCAGCCTCTAAATCCAGTTTGCCGGCTCCCAGAACCTGAACGTCTTTCCTTTCTGCTCTTAATATTGTTTGGCAGAAAAATGCCTGAGAGATTATATATCTTTTTGCTGGGAATTCAATAATAATCATAATACCACGTTTAAAATTTATTTACTCTTAAACGATGTTTATAAACATTGATCCACAGAATCCTCAGAAAGGAAGTAGCTAGTAAAATTACCAGTGATAAATATTGTAATAATATGCATTTGATATAAATATTTTCTAGTATGTTTGCAAATAATCAAAGAGAGTTTAAAAATGATAAAGTTTTTAAAATTACTTTCTCACTGGAAGAATTCACAAGGTAAAATTATTAATTCTTTGATGTTAAGGTCATATATTTTATTGAGAGAACCATACTGGGCCCCAGTCTAAAAAGCCATGTATCTGGTTGACTGTAAGTCATTAGTGCACTTAAGCATACATTTAATTAAACTAGGCAAGTAGTCCTATTTAAATCAACGGAACTAAAAGTCACCTGCATTCTGTGACACTAATGATATTCATAAAATCATTTACATGGAATGCTTGTTTGT